CCCGCAGCACCGGGAGCGCCGGTCCGGCCGCGCCCCGCACGGGGGGAGCGGGGGGTGCCGGGGGTGCCGGGGGGAGAGGGGACAGAGGGGGTCCCGGGGGGAGAGGGGGTCCCGGGGGTGCCGGGGGTGCCGGGGGGAGCGGTCCCGAGGGTCCCGGGGGGAGAGGGGAGAGCGGGGGGAGCTGGGGTCTCTGGGGTCTCGGGGGTTCCGGGGTTCCCAGAGGTGCCGGGGGTCCCGGCGGTCCAAGGGGTCCTGAGGGTCTCAGGGGTCACGGCGGTCCCGGGGGTCCCGGGGGCAGCGAGGGGAGCGGGGGTCCAGGAGGTTCCAGGGGTCCCGGGGGTCCAGGAGGTCCAGGATGTTCCAGGGGTCCAGGAGGTTCTGGGGGTCTCGGGGGTTCTGGGGGTCCCAGAGAGAGCGGGGATCCGGGGGGCCCAAGGGGTCCCGGGGGTCCAGGAGGTCCAGGAGGTCCTGGAGGTCCCGGGGGTCCCGGGGGTCCCAGAGATCCCGGGGGTCCTGGGGGTCCCAGAGGTCCCAGAGATCCCAGAGATCCCGGGGGTCCCAGAGGTCCCAGAGATCCCGGGGGTCCCGGGGGTCCCGGGGGTCCCAGAGATCCCGGGGGTCCCGGGGGTCCTGGAGTTTCCAGGGGTCCTGGGGGTCCCGGGGGTCTCTGGGGTTTCGGGGTTCCCGGGGGTCCCGGCTCCGCTGTGTGAAAAACGAGGTTCACGTAATTTTTATAGAATTTAAAACTTGAATAGAAAGACAATTAGGAGATAAAGTAAAAATGTAAAGACATAGTAAAGTTTAAAAAATAAAGTAAACTATAAAAATAAAGTAAAATATAAAGATACAGTAAAATATAAAAATAAAGTAAAAATATAAAAATCAAATCAAATAAAAATACGGCCGGGTGTTTCTGCATTCAGCCAAGAGAGCTCATTTTATTAACAAAGGATTGGCCCTTAAAAACAAAAACAGAGCCCTATTGCATATTCATAAATTCTCATACATATTCATACATCAGTCCTAAGGGGTTTTTATGTTTTTTGTTTAGTTTTTACCAAAAATAGTTTTATTTTATTTTATTTTATTTTATTTTATTTTATTTTATTTTATTTTATTTTATTT